GGATTATTCTTCTTTGTTGATCTATTTTGAACCACAAGACAATCCCATTTCTTATTTAAGTTCCATTTTATATGGATGGAATATAAGGACTATGAGGTTTTTGTTAAAAGAGTTTGAAAGACTCTTTTCTTGAATGATTCTATGGATATTCTTCAATCTAAGTTGAATTACTAGATCGTAGGTTAAAACGAGTAGAATTGAATTTTTTTTAGTAATATTCACTATCATATGGAGAATTTTCGGGAAAAGTTATTCACTTTGAAAATGATTTACTGAATGGGTGTAATAAGAATATTAATATAGACTTATAAAAAACAAGAGATGATTTATCTCAATTGAATAGATGAGAGGTAGATCTATAACAATAGAAAACAAAGGTAAATTAGGTACATGATAGTGATTGTAATACCATTTTTTCATGTCCGTATTAAGGATAATATTAGGAAACAATCTTTTAGCTTAAGACAACTTGATGGAACCCTTATAGATAATACAAATGTTATAGGGTCTACGACTTTTGAGTTTTTCTAAGACCTTTTTTTTTGCTGGTAGACCCACTAGATATGATTCTTTGTTCTTGAGTAACTTCAAATAAGTTTCAATAAGCTAAAATATCATGCTTAAATATATTACATTTGAAGCTGAAACTTAAAAAGGCAATTAATGATCTTAATCCTTTAAGTGCCCTAGGTATAGATGGCTTTACTCGCCTATTTTATTCAAAGGTAATTGGGAGTTGATTAAGAAGGATGTCATTTTGGTAGTTCGAGATTGTTTTAGGGGTATGATAATAACTATTTTAGTCTTGATTCCTAAGATCCCAAATGCTATTGATATGAGTGACTTAAGGCCAATTATTTCAAATATCATGGCTAATAGATTAGGTAAGGTTCTCCATGATATCCTTTCTTTGGAGCAAGCTAATTTTGTTAAGGATAGGAGCATAACCAAAAATATTGCAATTGCCCAAGAATTAATGACATATTTAAATAGAAATGTGTGTGTTAGCAATGTTATCTTCAATTTAGATATGTCTACACCCTATGATAGAGTTGAATGGTCTTTTTTATTGAGAATTACGAGGAAAATAGGTTTTTGTAACCGAGTGGTGTGACCAAGTATATCGTTGTATTAGTAATGTTTGGTATATCGTTAAGGTTCGAGGAGGAACTATGACTTTTTCAAATCTAGTAGAGGAGTCAAGGAGATCCTTTATCTCCTCTATTGTTTATTTTTGTTCAACAAGTTCTCTTATATTTCTTAAATAATGTTGTCGGGGAAGGATATATCATTCCATACATAGTAGGGAGAGGTGGTGACATAACCATTACATATTTATTTTATGCAGATGATATGCTCGCTATTCACCAATGGCTCTAAACAGATCAATTCGTTGTCTTAAAAAATTTATTACATAGTATGAGAAATCTTCAAGTCGGTTACTTAATTTATCCAAGAGTGAGTTTTATACCTCAAAGAAAATGCCTAATCATCGTATTGCTTTACTCAAGGCATGGACTAGGTGTAATCACCTAATCTTTCCTACTAAATACCTTGGAGTGCCTCTATTTCATGACCGGATAAAATATAGATATTTTTGGTATATAGAGAAGTCCTTGACAAATAGATAGGAGTGTGGAAATCAAAATACCTATTTCTTAAAGCTCAAATTACGCTTTTGAAAGCGATTCTAAGTAGTATTCCTATCTATACTATTTTTGTTATCCTTTTATCGAAAATGACTATCCATATACTTGAATGGATTATGAATAACTTTTTATAGAGCTCGACGGAAGAGTTTAAACATCGTTGGGTATATTGGAATAAGGTGTGTTGGCCTTTGTCAAAGGGTGGTTTGGGTCCCAAGTTATGGATGCTTTATAGGTTAAACTCGACTTGGTCCTTTTTTAGGGTCATAACTTGTGGGCTAGGATCACAAAAGCTAAGTATGGCCCTACTTCCCAAAATTGGTCTTATTCCTTTTACATTTGAAAGACTATTTTTAACCACTTTACTATCTTGGAGAGTTATACTTCTTGGATTTTGGGTAAGGGTTCAATTTCATTTTAGAGGTCTAATTAGTATGGAATTGTTTTGAATCCTCCTCTACCATTGGATTATAATCTATTAATAAAAGAGGCTTTTGCATGTTTAAATGATTTCCTTCCTTTCATTCCCTCTCAATATCATGATTCCGTAAAGGTTATTCAATTGGAAGAGGATTTGAAGGATAAGATGATTTTCGGTTTATCTAAGATAGGTTGTTTTGAATCCAAATCCTATTGGAATCATTATAGACAACAACATCCACTAGTTTAGTAGGCTAAATCAGTTTGGCATTCTTGCATTCCTCCTAAAGCAAGGGGTTTCATCCGGAAGTGATTTCATAAGTGGTCTTTCGAGTTGATTCTAAGATTAAGGATTTGACCATTCCTATGATCTCTATATGTAGTTAATGTGTGTCATCTAGAGAGGAGCTTATTGATCATCTCTTTTTTTTCGATCGAAGTTAGCTCTATAGTTTAGGCTAAATTAACACCTTATTTTGGTATAAAGAGTATATGTGCATCTTCTTTCGACCTCCTTCATGCCCGAATGGCCCCCACCTCGACACAAGTAGGTATGTGTTAGATAGCTACCCTTTTCTTTTCCCTTTGGGAGATATGAAAACATAGGTACAAGGCAAGATTCGACGAGATTCTTACATCCGTTGATGCCATTTTTGATCGAGTATGTTGCCATCTTTTTGATATGTATATAATTTTTAATCCTAAATCTGTCTTGTATTTCTTCGGTGCAAAGACTTCAACTTTAGGTTTGCCAATCCTATCGGTGCCTTTTGACGGAGGTAAATGGCTTCGTTGGTCGTCACCCTTCGATGACCGCTATAAGCTTAATATGGAAGGATCTTCTATATATGGTTATTGCACTAGTAGTAGTGTTATCCGTAACTCGAAAGAGAATTCATGACAACATTTGTAAATAATTATGGCAAAGGTATAAATACAAGGGCGTAACTTCTAGTTTTATGTGATGGTATTCTACTCTATCAAGAACTCTCTTAATAATGTTTTTTATGGAGATCGATTTAAAGCAAGTGGTCCAAGCTATTTTAGGGCTCTCCTCCTTGCCTTGGATTTATAATTATCATGTGAGACGTTGTTCCTCTTTACTTTTGGAACATTCCCTCTCTTATGTGTATCGAGAACAATAGTCGATAGGTTAACTCATCATGCACATGCTCTTTAACGTAAAAAATGTTTATTTTTCTTTTTCTAATTTATATTTCGAGGTTAAATTGTCTTTTAGATATGATAGATTTGGTTTTTATAATTATCGAAGTTGACGTAGTTTTATTTCCACTTGTAACGTGAGTTTGTTCTTAGGGGTTTAGGCTTTCTTATCCCTAGTTTGATTTTGATAAGACTCGATTGTCCCTCTTTGTATGCTCTTTTTTTTAATTAATAAAATTTTTCAAGGCTTCATTTTTTTTTAAAAAAAAAGGCGAATGAACAAATAAAAACTTTTAACCATTTATTTAATCTGTTAAACTCTCTTATTTATTGGATTTTTTTTCCTAAAACCATTTTACCAGTTTGTCTATGTAAAGTATAACATATTGGTTTGTTTCATCTCGTGGGCAGGGTGACTTGGTGTTTCGAAGGAGTTATTAATATTCATGGGTTTGGTATTAACGCTGGCCTTCATTTGGACTGTCAAGTGAAAAATAGGTTAACGTTGATGGATGCTAAATGCAGGGATTTTGAAGAGTAAATTATAAATTATTTTTTATTTATTTTTAAAAAAACAAACTAATTAATCTCTTTTATTTTAAAAATTAATTATTTAATCATGTTAATCATTTTTAATTTAATATTATTTTATTTTAAAAATTCTTCTCATCAAATATTCCATGTTTTTTTTCTATGTTTTAAAATAAAAAAATAAAAAATAAATTGAAAAATAATGAAAATGATTAAGTTACAATAAAAAAATAAAGATTAAATAATGAATTTTTAAAATAAAAAAGCTAATTAATTTATTTCTAACAAAATCCGAAGACTATTTATAATTCGCTCGGATTTTGAAAGCAGTAAAGCTTTCGTTTGAAGAATTGGTAGATTGGAGGATTTATAGTTGCTTGGATCTATCTCATCTACTATATATATTTTCTCACACTTTTAAGTAATGAAAATATTTCTATCCATTTAAATAATAATAATAATAATAATAATGAGCTTCCATCTAGTTGATTGGTCCGACGATCTGCTCCGCGGTTGAGATTCTGGATCCTTAATCTTGGATCATATATTAGTCTCTTTATTTTTCAGAAACAAATTAATTAAATTTTTTTTGTTTTAAAAATTAATTATTTAATCTCTTAATTGATAATGACCACGCTAAATTTAATATTATTTTATTTTATTAAAATGTCATATTTTTTTATTAATCTTTTCATATTTTTTACTTATTTTTTATAATTTTTAAAATAAAAAATTAAAATAAATTAAACAAGAACAAAAAGAATTAAGTTACAAGAAAATATAAATATATAAAATCTGAGTAATTATTTTTAGAAACAAAAATGATTAGAAGAATTAATTTATAATTTACTGGGATACTGCCGTGTGGGTTTGCTATCCTTACTTTAAGACATTATAATTTTATTGCCTTCAAAACTAATAAAATAGTATTTGGAATGCAATAAATAAAAATACTTATTAGTTTATAATCATTTATTATTATTATTATTACAATTTAAACAATAGCATAAAAAATTGAGGGACGCTATAAGAAGGCAAAGGTTGGACGGTCATTTTCGGTAGATAAAAAAGAAGTCCAAAACCCAAACCATGGCCTCTATCTTCTCCTACCGCATGAATCTGCATATAAATAAATAAGAGGACGAAGTTGGCCAATTTTGGAAGTCACTCTTCTTTCTCTCGACAAAATCCTTAGAAATATCGATCAAAACAATAATCCTTCCCTAAAATTTCCCAATGAATTTCTTCAAATCAGTCTTCGTTGATGACACCACACCACCGGACTCACCCAAATCCCAATCCCCTCCTGACAATTCGAATTCCAAAGACCCGAACCCGACAACCCAAAACCCCACCTGGTCCTTTGGCTCTTTAATCCAAACCTTAGCGACCAAATCTGAATCCGTCATCGAAATCTACAAAAAAGATCTTGGAGAATTCGGATCCGGCTTGAAAAAAGAAACCACCATTATCCGTGATGTCGCTTCACGCGCCGTCCATGATCTCCCTGCTTCCTTCGAGGCCAGTGCTGCCGTCGCTCAAGAAGCCATCGACGGTATTGGATCCAACATGTGGAAATCAACGGCCCAGATCATTTCTCAAGGTAAAAACTCCATTTTGGCCGGTGATCATGATCACGATTATGATTTACACTCATCTAATGCTGATAGTAGTAGAAGTAATTTGAGTAAACAGCTGCCTTTGGATGTGAAATACAGTCGTTTTGATGCTCAAGTGCATGCATTGCAGTCTGATTTGGATACTTACTGTAGCGAACCGGAAGATAAAGAGGATTATGAGAAATGGAAATCAGGGGGTTTGTAATTGATGAGAAAAAGAGGAGATCGAGAGATTAATTGCTGAAAATGGGGTAATTAGGGAGATTTATAATGAGGTTGTGCCGAGTAGAGTTGATAATGAGAGTTTCTGGAGTAGGTTTTTTTATAGGATGTTTAAGTTAAAACAAGCTGAGGAGGCGAGGGCTTTGCTTGTAAAACGAGCTATTTCTGGTGATGAAGACGATTTAAGTTGGGATTTTGATGATGATAAGGAGGAGGGTGATGGGTTTTTGTCCAAAGGTGAATCGACTAAGAATGCAGAGGGAGAGAAGGAGAAGAATGTTGGTGGGAGGATTGATGAGAATGCAGCAGAGGAGGAAAAGGTTGGGGTGGATAGAAGTGAGGATAAGTTGGAGGAGAAGGTAGTGGTGGTGGAGGGAAAGGGTGATACTGTCGAATCGAGCGAAGATAATGATAAATTGGATGAGAAGGTAGTGGCAGTGGAGGGAAAGGGCAGTACTGTCGAATTGTGCAAAGATAATGATAAATTGGAGGAGAAGGCCGTGGTGGTGAAGGGAGAGGGGGATGATGGTAAATCGGATAGTGATAAGTTGGAGGAGAAGGTGGTGGTGGTGGTGGTGGTGGGGGATAATGGTGAATCGTGTAAAGATATTGATGTTTCGGTGGTTTCAAGCCAGTTGATGACTGAGGAGGATCTTGAGTGGGATGAGATTGAAGATGTTGGGAGTAATGATGAGAGCAAAGGGGAAGCTGTGGGGAGCAGGAAGAGTGCCAATACAAGTAAAGTTGATTTGCATAATCGGCTGAGTGCTGCGGAGGAAGAGGATGATTTTAGTTGGGATATTGAAGATGAAGATGATGCTCATGTTAAGTGATTATTTATATGTGCTAATTATAAATTAGTTCGTCATTTTGCTGCATTTGTGAGATATTTGTTGCCGTATCTTCCCTTTAGATGTTCAAGTAAGTGATTGGACTCGATCATGTTATTGTCACAGTTCTACGAGCTTTCATAAATATAAATACCATTTATGCAAATGTTTTGCAAGAAAATTACATCATTTCCCACTTGTATTTTCTTGACTCTTTCTTCTGTTGCTATATGTCCGAAATTTTGATTTACCATACCAGTTTAAATGGTTGGTGAGCTTTATAGATGCTGGTCAACTAAATGTAGGAGGCGTCCATGCCATGTTTGCATGATTTTTTCCTTCATTTAAACTGAGGTAGCTTTGCACACGAGGAATCAGAATTTTTTTATTGCAAGAATTGAGCTTGCTACGGGCATCCTGCTTGAGTTTTATTAACCTGTCGTGAGAGTTCATTTGTTTCTTGTACTAGGATCATCCATCTTCCTGGTTGGTTGTCTGCGCTTATCATTTGAAAAAACATTCTTCTAATTTTATAGGTTGTAATATATTTAGGATCTAACTTTAGTTTGTTAAATTAAAAGTTAAAAAAAATAATCTAATTTTATAATTTATTCTTTTTTATGTTTTTCGTAAATTATATAGTTAAAAACCATGATTTTTTATTTCTTATATACTGGTTCTTAAATAAAAATTTATAATAAAATAAAGTAATAATTAATATAAAAATTTGTATAAAATTAACAAATTTTTATTTTTATTTTTATTTAATGCTGATAAGAAGATTTTTTTGTTATATATATATATATATATATATTGGTTGTTTCCTTTAATCTAATTAACCATGTCGTTACACTTGCAATTTGCAAGTGCAACCTGTTCTCTACAAGATCTTGGTGACAGCGTTGCGAAAATTGTGAGAACTAATTTGAGGACCCGGTGCTGCCTGCGGAACATAAAAGAAATCAACATTAATCTTGACAAATATTGACATTTGCAAATAAAATAAATGAATTGTACATTAAAAAATAATTTATTTCAAACTGCCATATGTGATTTTCTATTTTTTTTTAAAAAAATTCAAACTAAAATTGACAAATAATTGAAAATTTAATTATTACTAAAAAATAAAGTAAATTTAGACCATTTGTAGAGAAAAATAAATGTTAGTTTATATTTAAAAATCCAATGCTAAATTATGTAAATGTTTATAGAACAATTTGCCATAAATTGATAAGTATTAACAATAACAAAAATCATTATTAGCATGAGATAAATTTTAGCGTATATTTAAAAATCCAATGCTCTATTATGTAAACATTTTAAAGATGGGTTTGCCCCGTAATTGGTCTATGTATAGTTTAATTGTTTTTTATTGTGACCTTTTATTATTTTTCAACTTGATTAAAACTTTCTACTTTTACAAATATGTTTATTGAGACCCTCCATTATAACGTCGTTAACTATTCATCTTACATAGTAAGTTAAAATTAACGATAGCCAATCGGACAACATGTGGCACTATGAGTCTCAACTAATAATGTTTTTGTTCGAAATTAAAAAAAATATTTAAAAATATTTTTAATAATAAAATAATATTTAAAAATTAAAAAAACAATGAGAAAGAATATTTGCCCCAACCCCATTATCCCACTATCAACCATTTTGCATTCTCAAACCTTTTCTCTCTCTTTCATAAAAAACTCAAAATTCTAAAATCCCTAAATCCCAAAAATTTCAAAATTCCTCAAACTGATTTCTCCAAGGCCTAACTAAAGGTGTTTCTAACTTATCTACACTTGGCCGCTCAAAGATTCCAATCCTAGTACAATAAACTGAAGTCTTTTTTCTTCACCACATTGTTTTTCTATGTATTTATTTGGGTTAAAATCAAAGCCATGGGTGGCTAATTTCTTACCCGGATCAATTGACCTCTTGAAATTGTTTCTTCATACTTCCACTCCTCTTGAACCCAATTGGAAAAGATTTTGAATTCAATAAGAGAAGATCGCCAATTGAATATTTCATATGGTTGACTTCTATAAAATTCAACAAGAAGGTGGTGGCCTTAAATCAAGCTCTCATAGCCAATTTATAGTACGGAGGAGACTTTGATTTAAAAGTAGAGAAGAAAGAGAGTTGGGTTAGATGAATAGTGGGATGGGTGAAGCAAGGGTTTTTTTTTAGCGAGTTCGGATGAATAGGGAGAAAGATGAATAGTGGCGAGTCCTTATATTTAAGATTTTTTTAGATCTTTTTTTTAAAAAAATTTCTAAAGCAACACCGATATTTGATATCCATTATACCACATGTCGTTGTCTAATTGGTTATGTTATTTTTAACTTGCCATGTAGGATGAATAATTAATGGTGTTATAATGAAGGGTCTCAATCAATAAATTTGTAAAACTAGAAGGTTTCAATCAAACTAAAAAATAATAGATGGTCTCAATCAAAAAAATTGAAACTATATATGGATCAATTATAGGGTAAAACCTTTTTAAAACCATGTGTCATAAATTGATAAGTTTTAAGAATAAAAAAAAATCATTATTGTCATAAGATTTCAATTATCTCTAATTTTATTGTTTTTTATGTGTTTTTGACTTGTTACGGATATTATAGGCTGAATTGTAAGAGTAAATAACTTAATTGTAGGCTGACTTGTAGAAGTCAATAACTTGATTATAGGTTGACTTATAGGAGTCAATAACTTGATTGTACGTTGACTTATAAGAGTCACGGACATAGTGTGAATATGTATGTGTGTATATGCTTATGAATAATATATGGAAAAAGGTTTTTTATTTCTTAGGTTTTACATGGTATCGTAGCTATGTAGAGTGACCAATTATTCTCCTCTTCTTCTTTTTCTCTAACTGTCCGCCCAGTGAGCGAGTGTGCAAATTTTTTGGGTCACCCCCATAGATTAACTAGTTATTCTCATATGGTCTTATACGAGCATATATCTATGTTATTTTGCTCCAATATCCATTCGGGTGTGAGATCTCTCTCAAATTAGGATCCCTTTTTTGGTAGGTGTGTTTTGCAAAAAAAAAAAAAAAAATTCGGAGTTATGGGCGATAAGAAATCGAAGTTATGCTCGATGTAATTCTTGTGATGTCCAAAATCATGCAACATAAGCTCAATGGTTTCAATTATCCGGATTGGAGTAAGATAGTTCAAATTTATTTGAGTATTGATAAGGACAATCACCTTATTGAAGATCCACCCACAAATGATTTGAAACGGACATGGCGGATGGATGATGCCCGACTATTTTTACGGATACATAATTCCATCGACAATGAGGTAGTTGGTTTGATTAATCACTCGTGAATTTATTAAGGAATTGATGGAATATCTAGATTTCTTGTACTCTAGAAAAAGGGAATATTTCTCACATGTATGAGCATGCAAAGCTTGTTACCATGTAGAGAAACAAAATAGATCTCTCATAGCCTACTTTATAGAGTTTAAGCAAACCTATGAAGAACTTAATGTTTTGTTACCATTTAGTTTTGATGTGAAAGTTCAGCAATCTCAATGGGAGCAAATGGCTGTTATGAGTTTCTTAGTTGGTCTTTCTCCTAAGTTTGAAAGTAGTAAATCTTAAATACTCTTTAGTCTTAAGATTCCTTCTTTGCAAGATACATTTACTAGGGTGCTTCGCACGGACAACACTCCATCTATTCTACCTACTTTATCCGTTCAACTTACTAGTGCTCTTATAAGTCGAAATGGTGGGCATAACAAGAGTGGTAGTAGAGAAAGGGGGACAAGCAATCATGCCTAAGCTTTTGATAATCGGAGTTAGGATTCTAGAGGAGTTATATGTAATTATTATCATGAGTCGAGCCATACAAAACAAACTTATAGAAAATTACAAAATCGATCTTAGAAAACTCCGTCGACATATCTTATAGCTACTAATGCTACATGTAATTCATCCTCTAAGAACTCCATTATTGTTTCTACGGATGAATTTGCTAAGTTCTCTCGGTACTAAGAATCATTATGGTCTTCATTTACTCATATCACCGTCGAGTCAAGTAAACCCATTACATGTCTTATTTTCTCATCATTCAAAAGGGTCATTGATTCTAACACCATAGATCATATGACAAGTAATCCTAGTCTTTTTTTCTACCTTTGAGTCTCATGCATCACTTTCTAATATTATATTAGCAGATGAGTACACTTCTTTTGTCCTCGGTTACGCACTCATTAGCTCAACTCCATTAATTTTCTTGTCATCTCGATTGACTCTTCCTAAGTTTTCTTTCAATTTAATTTCTATGAGTAAACTTACTTATGCCCTTAATTGTTGTATCTCATTTTATCCTAATCATTGTTTGTTTTAGGATCTCACAATGAAGTAAATTATTGATAAAGAACATGAATCTTGAGGGCTTTACATTCTAGGCACACAAGTGCCAAAATCTATTGCCTATTCCGGTGTCTTAACTCTATTTAAGGTGCATTATCGATTGGGACATCATTCTCTATCATTGTTGAAGAAACTTTATCCATAATTTTATAGTATCTCTTTATTAGATTATGAGTCGTGTCAATTTGCCAAACACTATCGTCTTTCTATAAGTCCCGAGTCAATAAACGAGTTTGTTTTTCTTTTGAGTTAGTTCATTCATATGTTTGAGGTCCTTGTCCTACTATGTCTAAAATTGGTTTTAAGTACTTTATTACTTTTGTTGATGATATTCTCATGTCATTTGGTCGTATCTAATGAAAAATCTTTCTAAGTTATTTTCTCATCTTTATGTTTTTTTGTCTAAAATCAAAACATAATTTAATGTTTCTATGCACACATTAAGAAGTGATAATGCCAAAGGATATTTTTTTTTGAGTCATTTTAGTCTTATATGATTCAGAATGGCATTCTCCATCAATCCTCTTGTGTTGATAACCCATCTTAAAATGGAGTAGTTGACAAAAAATAGACATCTTCTTGAAATAGCTAAAGCATTATTATTTCAAATACAAGTG